CAGCCTCCAGGAGGCCCCTGGCCGGGATCTTGCTCTTTCCTTCCTAGGCTACTGGCCTGAGAGCATCATCAGCACTAGGTCAGCAGAGGCAGGACAGCCCCCTCCTGGGGAGGGCAAACCAAGGAGGGGAGCCTGGGTCCACAGTGGCCCCTTGCAGCTGCTGGGCACCCAGTCCGTGACCTGTGCCCTGTTGCACCCTTGTTCTGGGGGTGCCTCTCTGCCAGCGTCCCGGGATCCAGCTGCCTCAGGGCCAGAGGTGGGGCAAGGCCAGGGCCTGGCCCAGTTCTTCAGCCAGCACCGGCCTGCCGGAAGCCCAGACCTCGCAGTGAGGACCAGGTTGAAAGTGAGCTCCCCGCCCTGTGGCTCTGCCGTGGGGGCCCACCCAGCGGGATGGGGAAGGCTCCCCGGGAGTCTTTGGTTGGCATGTGTGCGCATGTGCGTGCACGTGTGTGTGTGGCTGTTGGACGAGGCACATAGAGGGTGATTTCCCGGGGGTGGCTTAGGGTTTGCTTGTGTGTTATTGGACTGCTATTCATGTCCCCCAAATCCACATGCTGGAACCTGACTTCAGGTGTGCTGGTGTGAGGAGGGGGCCCCTGGGATGTGTCCTCGTGATGGGCTCGGGCCCCTGTCAGAGGAGATGGGACAGCTTGCTTCCTGGCTGCCCTCTGCCCTGTAGGCGCACAGTGAACCAGGAGAGGCTCACGGGAACTCCAAGGCTCCAGCACTGTGGGAAGGAGCTTGTCCGAGCCTCCTGCGTGGTGGTGTGCTGTGCCGGCGGCTGGAGGCTGCTGAGACACAGCATCCCCTCTGGCACCCGCCCCCTCCCGTGGGCCGCCCCACTCGCACCTGGTCCCCGCCATCTGAGTTTCAGAAGCCACCTGCTGCAGGAACTTGGTGCTCAGAGCCCTGGGTTCAGCCCCAGGTCATCCTTGCAGACAGACCTGGTGGCCCATTTTGAGGGCCTTTGATGATGGGGAAGGGTCCCACTGAGACCGTACCCACTGCCTGCCCCCCCCCCACAGCCATGGGGCTTATGCCCTTGCCACAGGCCAGCCCAGGGTGGGGGACGATGACTGTCAGGGAGGGCACTTCAGCCCCAGAGAAAGGTATTCCTGGGACACTCTAGATCCCGGGAGTCGGCCCCGCCTCTGTGCCTGCTGCCAGTGGTGGCCGGTTGCAAGCAGTTTTTTTTCCTTAAAGAAGCTTAAAGCAGGTCTGAGATAGGGAGACATTTCACCTGTAATTACACACGAAACTTCAGGACCGCAGTCCCGTGTTGCGGTTAGAAAACGAACACTAATTCCTTCCCACCGGCCAACACGGGGTCATACCTGTCCCTGCTGTCTTTCCCTGTGACTTTGTCAGCGGGGAGGACCGGGCCCTGGCTCCCCTCTTCACCCGCTGCCCATGCTGGCTTCTGCTGTCGCCCTTGCGTTCTTCTGCTTTCTCTGAACCTAAATCTCTTTCTTCCCTGCAGACGACAGCCTTGCTCATGGTCTTCCACTGGCCGAGTTCCCAGCGCAGGCCACAGCTCTCCCTCCTGGGTGCCCCGTGTAGGCGCTGCACTTCCTAAGTGTCCCGCCTGCATCCTTTTAGCATCTCCGCGTCCTCCCCGCAGGGCTGGGCACTGGACGAGGCCTCCGGCCTGCAGGTGCCGGGGGCCAGACTGCCTGCAGGCGGCCCCTGCGTCTGAACCGAACCGGCCGGGCGTGTGGAGCGCTGCGTGTCCGCGCCAGGCCGGGCTCCCGCGGGGTCAGGGCGCAGGTCTGCTCCTTGGGTCTTCTTCCCACGGGTCCTGGTGCTGTCCCCGGGTCCTGGGCACTCTGTCCTGTGTCTGCTCCCTCTGTCCGTCCGTCTGCGTCCTGCTCGGATGGTTTCGTGGACCCGTGGGCGCTCACGGACTGGTCCTCTGCTGGCCGGGTTGCCGTCAGGCCCTTCTCCAGAAGGGCTCGCGGTCGGGGTGGCGGGGCCCGCTTTGGGTGTTGCCATTTTGTTCTTTTCTGTAACTTCCAAGTCTCCCACGCCTGCGCTGCTTTCCCACCGGACCCTCCCCAGCTCTACCGGCACCCTTTCACAGTCTGGGACCTGCACCATTGGGGCCATCTCTGCCTCTGCTCCTGGGGTTCTCGCACTTTCGCGGTCCTGCGCTGTCTCACTGTCCGCTAAGTACCCACCAGCCGTGGGGCTGGGGCTCGGTCCCACTGCTGCTCCCAGAGGCCTCCCGTGTCTGGGGGAGCACTGGCCGGGCTCTGGACATCAGCCCGCCTTGCAGAGCTTGGCCGCCGGGTTTGTAGACCACTGGAGGCTCCCCTTACCCCCATTGGTCCCTGCACCATGCCTTGGCCTGGAGTGCCCAGGGCAAGGGCCTTGCTGCCCTGTGGAGCCTCTAGAGCGGGCAGCAGGAACCCCGAGTGGGGTGGGGGCTCTCACTTCTCCAGCCCCCTTCTGAGAGAGGCTGGCTCTACTTGGGGATTTTCTGTCAGCCTTCCCTCCTTACAGCCCATTCTGAGCGCTCAGCGAGGACCCAGCCGGACAAGGGGTCCCTGGAGCCCTGCCCCTCCCGCTTTGCCCCGGGGGCACTGAGTTCAACTAATGTAGGTTCCTTGGCATCCTCAGCTCCAAGATGGCTCTGAACCCCGACTTTGTAGTGGATGGGCCGCGTTCTGGCGGGCACAGTCGGAGGGGGCCAGCCAGCGTTCACTCTCCCCGTTTGGAAGGCCCCTCCTTGAGCACCTGGCCAGACACCGGACACAGCATCTGAGCCAGACTTGATGTCTGCTTGGACACGGGACTGAGGGACAGGGACAGCCCTGTCCTCTGGCTTAGGGAACAGAGCTGGGGCGCTGGGCTGGCCAGAAGTCAGGAGAGGGGTCAGCCGCGGGGGAGTTCCATGTGTGTCCCAGAGGGAATCTGGGGGAGGAGGCAGAGCACAGAACAGCCTGTTTTGGGTTCTAGTCTGAGTTTAACCACAGGCTGGGAAATGATGGCACGTCCCAGCGGGTCTCTGCTGGTGGGGTCCCCGGAGACCCAGGGCAGAGGCTGCCTTCTGGGGAAAGCAGGTGGTGGAACAGCAGTTTCCAAATTTTCTCTCTCTCTAGCTGAAAATGAAAAATGAGGGCAGATTTCCCAAACCTGCAGCACGAAAGAAACATGATCACCCCTTCCCATAAGCCTCAAAGACCACTGCTGCCTGGAGAGGCAGGGGCACCCTTCTCCCCGTGACGGGCGACATCTGCTGGTCACTGTGTCCCCACCGCGGTCACTGTCTGGGTCTGACTCCAGGGTGGATGGAGCTGGCCTGAGGCAGGACAGGCGCTCCAACAGAGGGACGGGGCGGGACGGGGGCAGCATCGGGCATAGGGAGCCTGCAACAGCCACGCTTCTGACAACGGTCCCCACAAAGCAGATGAGCCGGCGAGAACGCGGCCTTGTCCAGGCCGTTTTATTAAATAAAATTTTACAAAAGTCAGTGCCTTCGCCAGAACCAGAGAAAGCCTGCTGGGAGTCAGAGGGGAGGGCCGGACACAGAGAGAGGCCCCCGGATGCGTGCTGGTGCAGGGAAGGGCTCCCAGGGCCTTAGCGTTCCCCCTGCCCTAGGTGTGACAGTAACGTGCTATGAACCCCGAGTGTGTGGACGCCTGCCTCCTGCGGACAGTCCCAGTGGACAGCCAGGCCAGCCCGGTGTGCCCCCGGTGGCCACACAGGCAGCCAGGCCTGGGTCCCTCCCCAGGTGGCCGCAGGGGCCAGCAGCCCCTGCACCGGGTGCGGAGCCACCAAGCCACCCTGGTTCACGTCAGGCTGGGGCGGAGCTCCTGGGGACCCGGCGCACCCCCTTCCTATTGAGACCGGCTCTGCCGAAGGACCCGTTCTTCTAAAGGGGTCAGACCCCAAGGTGCACCAGCGGGCATGCACGGCTTCCCGCACGGCGTCTCCAGAAACACGCCCACAGAATGGTTCTGGTTTCCAGCACCAAACCAAGCCGGTAAGAAAACGTATAATTCCTCATAAAAATACAAAGTTCTCCTGTTTTAGCAAACATCACTATTAAACAAGGTCATTTTTAGGTTACGTGGATTGAACATCTTTTTCCACGGAATTGTGACGTACTGCCCGTTTCTGGGTAAGGGGGTCTTCAGAAAGACACTGCAGGCAGCTCTGCTGCCCCCCTGTCTGCCGCCAGACGTCCCGGGGAGCTGACGGGAAAGGAAGGGCATGGCATGGTCAGCGCCGCCACCAGTCCCTGAGGCTGGCTTGCTGCCCCCGCCGCTCGGGCCCGTGCGGCCTCCTCCCCTCCCACCGTCATGCGGTCAACAAAGAGATGCATGGGACACAGCAGACAGCTCTGTGGCTTTCCCCAGGGCTAAGCGGGCACCACGCTGGGAGGACGGCTGTGCCGTGTGCCCAGGGCCATGCAGGCCTCCCCATCCCTAAGTGACCCTATGACCCTGGCCTGAGGGCCTAGGTGGGGTCCCAGGACCCGTCCTGCTCGCGTCTGCAGTGTCCACGGACTTTCACCTACCAGCTGCTGCGCACATTTCAGTGTCTTGCTGATCTAAGATGGTCCCTGCCTGCCCTTCTAGAAGTTCCCACCTCCTGCTCTGTGGGGTTTCCCATAGAGCAGAGGGACCAGCATGCCTGGAGATGGCCCTGGCCCTGGCCGGATGACAGGCAGCCCACACTGCCCACACCAACCATCAGAGCACACCCTGGTGGTGGACGCCCCCCGGTTCCACTACGTTCCTGGGGCAGGGGTACAGGCAGAGCGATCCCCACCTGTGCTCCAGGTCCTGGGGAGAACAGGCCCCTCCAGACTGGGCACTGCTCCTCCCCACAATACCTGGCCACGAGGGGCAAGTGCACCCACTCCCAGGAAACACTGTACCCTGTCCTCAGAAGAGGACACCTGCCCCTCACGTGCGCTTCTCTGCCGCATACCCCGCCTGCCTGCTTCCCTGCAGCCCCTCCTGCAGGACCCACTGGTGGCCCATGACAGCTGCTCACATCCCAGCACCTGGTGGTGCCCTGCCTGCCCTGGACGGCGGCAGCGCTCCTTTCTCCTGAGTCTGTGGGACTCAGGGAACAGGTGTCAGCACACAGATCCGTGTGGCCAGCACAGCCGAGGCGTCTCCAGGGGTGGGAGGGTATGACTCACCTTGGTCTGAATCAGGGCTCCGCAGGGCTGCAGAGAGAAGGCAGGCACGCCCAGGTCTTCAGACAGTTTGAGGTCAGAACATTCCAAAATGTGACCCAGGTCTCCAGAAGGGTTCTAGTGAGACAAGCCACTGTCACCCGCCAGGAAGGAAGATAAAGGACCGCTTTCTCTGCATTTGCCTTGTGAACCCAGACCCCTCCGGCACATCCTACTGTTAAACGGCAATGTGCTCATGACTCGGTGTCCACAGGGTCGGGCAGCCGGCTGGTCCCCGCCCTCCGGTCACCCGGCTCACGGCCATCCCTGCCCTCCAGACCCGCAGGGCCCGCCACCTCCTCAAGTCTGCCCCCCACCTCAGGGTGAGCCGTGCTCCCCAGCCTGGCTGTGCCGAGCTGGCCCACCTCCCGCCTTCTGTCCAAGCTGCCTGTCCCCTTCCCCATCCTCCTGGCTGCTTTTCTGGCACAAACACAAAGGCAGGGCGGCCTCGTCAGGCCCCTCTGGTTCCTTCCACCCCTCACGTCCCTCCCGGCTGGCCCCGGGTGACCCCTGGGCCCAGGCACAGCCATCCCAAGACCCCACCATCATGAAGGCCTGCCAGCCCCTCTTAGGTTTTCCATGTTTGAAACTTTCCATGATAGCAACAAACAGAAAAGGGTCTTTGTCGACTTGACAGCTGACAGCCTGCTCTGCATACAATTTGCATTTTCTCTTGTAACCCCTGGCTGGCCTCTCACCGACGCCTCCCTGCGCCCACTTGGCTGCTTCCCACCTCAAGCACAGGGGACCCACCTGGTGGCTGACCTCACACCCCCGCTGCACCTGCTGCTCCTCGCAGGGCCCACTCCTCCTCCCTCTCCTCCACTCCACGGGGAGCCCTGCCCGCCCCACAAGCTGCCTCGACCCCTCCCTCACCACGCAGAGGGCGGCGCTGCACTCGGACGTCTGCCGGCCTGCCCCGACCAGACCCTGCCTGCGTTGCCTCATCCCCCCAGCCCCCCGCAATGCGGTGCGGTCCATGTAGGCGGCTCCCGCGGCCCTGGGGTGTCGGCAAAGTCTCCGCAGAGCCCCCAGGGGCGTCTGACTCACCTTCTGAGCAGCATCTATTCCGAGAACAAGGAACAGGTTCTCCTGGCAGCGAGACCCGCTCCAGAGGCAGCGAGAGGCCGACGCGCCGTCTGTGCTCTGCAGGGCTCTCCAGAGTCTGCGGGACTCGGAGCTGAACAGAGACCCATTCGTGAACGGCTGAGCGGGAAGCCTTCCAGACAGACACCAAGGGACCTGCCCCCGGGGCTGTGAGGACAGAGTTCTCCCTTCCAGGTCAGCTTACGTGTTGCTGCCCCATGAGTACCCTGGCACTCCCACCCTCCTCCCCGGGCACCGCCTGGCTCATCGGAGCGGCAGAGCGGCTCCTCCAGGGGGCAGACCCTCCCTGAGGCCTGGTACTTTGCGGTTTTGTTCCTGATGGTCTCGGGGACCACGAGCTGCACCGGGAGCCACAGGGACACTCGGAAACTAGGAGCAGGGCAATGCTTAGGGGATGACCACTGGGTGTCTGTCATGCACCGTCCACAGCTACAAGCCACCCCCACCAGCCACGTGCCACCAGAGCAGCTAGCGAGGCTCCTACGAAGGAAGGGAGGGTGTGCACAGGAGGGGGCCACGCTAAGTGCCCACAGCATTTGCAAGTCGTCTTCATGTTTTCACACCCTGAAGTCACAGCCACCTCCCGTCACACCACAGTGTCCAGCCCTGCTGGACCTGACGGCCAGGACAACCTGTGTCTCCGAGTGTCTGAGGCTCCTGCTGCCACCAGAGGCCCTTCCACCTGCCTGCTGGTCCGGGCCACACCTTGGGGAAGCGCCATATCCAGAAAGCCCTCTGGGCCACGGTGGTGACAGCCTTCCGGGGTTCAGGCCTCTGTCCCCCAGGCCCCTGCTGGGGGGGTTCCCTGGCTTGGACCCCAGCAGTAGCCCTGCCTGGACCCAAGGCCAGAGCCCAGAAGGGCAGTCTGCAGAACTCCCTGACAAAGAGAACACGGGTCAGGGAGGCCAGCTCACCCCCTCCTCCTGTGGCCTGGGCCCCGCCGACCTCAAGCCGACCGCACCGGCCCCCCCAACTGAGCTGCGCCTGTTCTGCCAGCGCCCAGTGAAGGCGCGTCGGAGAACGCGGCCATCTGCGCGCCTGCGTCTGTGGTTTCCCAGACAACGAGCCCCGGGGACCACCGGCCTTGCTGGCAGCAGCAGATGCGCTCAGGCTGTCTGGCCCTGTGGGTTCAGACTGTCCCTCGGGGGCACTGGTATGTTTCTCTGTGGCTGAGGATCAGGCAGTCCAGTCCCCCGGGACCAGCACTCGCACAGAGACACCAGGAGCTGGCGCCCCTGGTCTCCCTTGCTCCAGGTGAACACGCTCTCAGGGCGACCGTGGCCAGAGCATCAACCCATGCCGCCCGGTCCTTCCGTGAGGACCCCACGACACCAAGGTTGTGGGGTCTTCGGGACAGACAGGCTCTCTCTTAAAGGCCACTTGGTCAACCAAAGTACAAGCTCAGACTTGCTCTAAGAACCCAAGTTCATTACCACAGCTGCCGTCCAGATTCCCAGCCGGGCGCTTCTAAGATGTGGTTCAAGGGGGAGACGCCCTCAGTTGCCTGGGGGACTGGTGTGTCCTGAAAAACAAACGGGAACACATCCTCGGAGCTGTGTGGAGGCTGGAGGAAGAGAGAAATGCACATCAGGTCACCTCGCTGCCGGCAAGGGGCAGATGACACGTGCAGACGATCGCGCCCTCACAGCTGCTGTAGCGTGGCTCACTCGCTCCCCGAAATCTCTGCTCTGCACGCTCCGATGGGAAGCCCAGAGCGCGGCAGGTAGGCTTCGGGCACGGCACTCATAAGCTTTGTCAGGGACACACGAGAGAGCGGCACCTGATAAAAACATTAGTGTTTCCCGTGTGTCAGCCGGCTGGGAAGGCTATCCACACGGCAGTCAAGGAGGCCTTTCCTGGGCGGAGACCTGAGGTCGAAAGGTCGGGAGCTAGTGTGAAGTGCTGGAGTGAGGGCTGTCCGAAGCCTGGCAGGAAGTGACACAAGTGCAAACCAGGAGGGGGGGCAGGTGTGCAAGCTGGGAGGGCGGGAGCCCCGAGAGCTGCTGGAGGCATGCGTGTGTGCGGCATATATGCACGTCAGTGTGGGGCTATTTTCTGTCGTCACCTAGTGTCTCTTGCAAGTTCACATCATGGTCAGATTGTCCCGATCTGTTATTCCCACAGCCCTGTTTTCACAACAAGCGCACTCGCGGAGCGGATGGCGTGGAGAGCGCCTCCCGCCAGGGGTCCAGGGCACACAGACGGCCGGGTTCAGGAAGCAAACGTTCTTCCCCAGAACCAGTGAACCCTTTCCTCTCATCCCTTCCTCTCACTCCTTCTGTTCTCATGGTGTTTGGGGGTTTGGGGGTGAGCCCTTGGGAAGAGACGGCAGAGAAACAGGAGCAAGGGGAAGAAGAGGAAGGAAAGAGGCATCAGATGCGTCACCGCGCGCCTGTGCAAGAGGCAGTCGGGCCAAGAAGGGCGGTGCGGAGACGATGGGGACCGGCCGCTCTCCTGGCCAACTCCAGTGCCCGGTCCTCACACACAGGCTGGAAGGGACTCTACAGGGTGAGGCTTTCTGAGTAAGGAGGATGACAATTTGGACCAAAAGCTCCTTCCCAGTGTGCCCCGAAGGGAGCAGGGAAAGTGGGCTGGCGCCCGCCCCTGAGTCGCCCCCCCCCCCCCCCCGTGGTCCAGCCTCCCTCCCTGGCTCAGGAGGGCAGGACAGCCAGCCGCACAGGCCGGGACCGGGGCCAGGACAGAAGCAGACCCCCTCCCGGGCCAGCCCACCGAAGCGGAGGTCCGCTGCACAAATACCTCACGAGGTGCGCTGCCCGCGGCTCCTGGCACCCCAGGCCCGCGCTGGGCAGGCTGGCGAGCACCGCGCTCCTTTTGGGTAGAAGCCACTGTCTGCCGCTGAGGACGCGGGGGTCTCTCCGGGCGCTCAAAGCTTGGGGAGAACTGCTCAGACTGGACCGAAGCGTCCCGAAAGCCTTCAAACTCCCCCCAGGCGCTGCCGGGCTCCGCGGGGTCCGGGCCTCCGGCCGGGCAGGGGGAAGGGCCCTCGCGCGCCCGGGAGAGGCGCTCCCCGGAGAGCCGCTGCGCGCCTGCCCCTGCCCGCCCCCGGGGCGCCCTGCTCGCGCCGCGCTCTTCAGAAGCCGGGCGCAGGGAGACGTCGCCTGCTCCCGCGGCGGGGTCGCTCGGGCTCCCGCGGGGAGGGGTCGCCTGGCCGGGCGCGGCGCCCCGCTGCCGCTGGCCCTGCATGTCGGAGCCGCCCGGGGCTGCACGGGGCGCGGGCGCGGGGCTGAGAGCAGCCCGGGGCGGGGGTCCCCGCGAGGGCCCGGCCTGCGCCCCCGGCCCGCACCCACCGCGGCTCGCTGGAGCCGCGCGCGCCGCCGTCCCCACGCCCGCCCGTTGCCGGGCAACGGAGCGCGCCGGCCCCCGCGTCCTGAGTCCGACGCCATGACGTCAGCGCGCCGGCCCGCCCCGCCGTGCGCCTGCGTGCCGCCCCCCCCGCCGCCCACCCACCCCCGGCCCTCGCCCTCCCCTTCCTGCGAGGCGGGTCCCGGTTTCCTTGGAGCCCCGACAGTCCTGCCGGCTGCCCCCCGCTGCCCCCCGCTGCCCCCGTCCCCCGGGACAAGGCCACTGCCCGGCCCGCCCCCAGCTCGCTCCCGGCCCCCGCGGACCCTTCCCCGGGCGCCCCCAGCCGGCCCGCCGACCCCCCGGGAGGCGTGCGCCGGACTCCAGCGCCGCAGAAGTGCCCGCAACCCCGGTCCGCACCCCGGTCCCGGCCCCTCCGTGCTCCCACCCCTCCACCCTGTGACCTCCTCGGGCCCCGTCCTGTGGGCACGAATCACCCGCTCTCCTTGGTCCCCGCCAGCCCAGCTACCGAAAATCTTAATTCTGAGAATTACCAGATGAGATCATCCCTGACCCCTGACTCCTGTCCCTCCTGTGCTTCCTGAGGGTACGTGGCCCGCACCACAGTGCGCAAGCAATGCAGTCCGACTGCCCAGCTCTGGGCGGACACCTGGGTGACCCTGCGGGGAGGACGCCGCCTCTCCCGCCTGGATGTCATCCCAGGGACAGTGTCGGCGCTCGGACCCCCTCCTCCGTTGTGCCTGCTGTCCTCCTAGTCCAGGGAGCAGGAAAGGGGTAGCAGCGTTGTCCTGGTGTACAGGTGGGGAAACTGAGGCCCAGGCCCAAAGGCCTGAGTGAGAAGTGTTGCTGGGGCTGGAGCCAGCTCTGGGAGCTCCGCAGTTCCCCACACCCAGTCTGGGCCTCAGCAGACAATGGCGCCGTGACCTTCAGGGTGCAGGTGGGCTGACCTGTCTTCCTAGCTGTGGTGGCTGAGTGATGCTGCCCAGAAACGGCCACATCCTGTCCCCAGAACCTGTGAATATGGGACCCTATGCGGTCCTACGAGGCATTTTACAGACATGATTACGTTAAGGCTTTTGGGGTGGGGACGAAGTCCTGGGTTATGCGGTTGAGCCTGATGCCCTGAGGAGGAGGAAGCAGGGGGTCAGGGTCTGGGGAGCCGGAGAGACTGAACCAGAGGCCCGTGATGCGGGGCTCCCAACACAGGGACGCAGGACCCCCCAAGAACCTGAAAAGGGCAAGGACGTACACCTGCCCAGAAGCCCCGGGAGGAATACAGCCCCCGACGCCAGGAACCACAAGGGAATGGGCGCACTGGGGCGAGCCGCTGTGCGGTTATGTTACCGCGCTCATGGGGAACACAGACTTGGGTGACCTCCGGCTACTGAAAACGTGCTGCCTCGGGGGGCCAAGACCCCGAGGAGGTGGCAGAGGTGATCTGACGTGGGGTGTTCAGCCCTGGCTACAGTGTGGGGGCTGTGAGCGAGGGACCGGACGGGCGGCCCCTGGCTCCTCCTGCCAGCCACTGGGCAAACGGGGCACAAGACACGGCACCAGCCGAGGGTCAGGCCTCCGGGTGGGGGGTGCAGGGGAGGTACCTGTTCAGGTTGAAAAGGCCTCACCTGCTGAGGGAGACGGGTCAGAGGGGAGCATGGTGCCCTTCAGGTGGGGATTCAGGGGACACAAGCACGAGTGTCCGAGGGGCCGTGGAGGGGGTGCGCACAGTGTAGTCAGGAGGAAGAGCCCATGTGGCCCCTCCAGGCTCCTCTCGGGACACCTCAGTCCATCCCTGACCTCGGCCCTACCGAACAGGAGTGGGAGGCGGCTTCTCTGCCACCAAGCTAAGCCTCCCCCGTCCCAGCCCCCAGAAGCACCCTGCTCGTCTGGGGTTCTCAGACCCAGACCACTGGGATGAGTCCGGGACCCCACCTTCCCCAGGCTGGAGCAGGCCCTCAGCATGGGGGAGACAGAAGCAGTTAGAGGCCGGGGGTCAGCAGACCCGTAGCCCACGACCTCCTCACCGTGTAGGACTAAAGGGAAGGGCAGGGGGCTGCTGATGGGGTCCTACCGGGCCCCCTGCTCCACTGTGATTCTTGGGCCAGGCCGGGCTGGGGCAAGGACAATGAAGAGCTATTTTTGCTCCTGGTGCAGTGGCTGCCGCACAGAGACATCAATCATTGATGCTCTGGGTGTCCCTGCTGTCTGGAGAGGCCCGGGGAGCGGCCTGCCGGGCGGGGGGAGCCCTGCTGAGGAGCCAGAGCCTGTGGAGGGGGCGGGCACGGCTCCTCATCCTGGCCCCACCTGTGTTGCGCATCCTGGGCCCCAGTTCCCAGACACATGGCCTTAGGAGGCTGCTGGCGAGCCTGAGACCCCTGCCCGTCAGTGAGGGCCAGGCTGACGTGTGGCTTAGCATGGTGGTCCCAGAGAGGAGGCCGAGCCTGTGTGTGCCCATGGGACAGGGTGTGGGGCCCTGCAGAACTGCCACGTACCGCCCACTGCTCTGAGGGTGCGAGCCTTGTAGGGGCCAGGGCGGCCGTGAGTCGGGCGTGTGGGGTAACAGCGACTCCTGGGCTATGTCCAGCGGCTGTCACCTTTCCCGGCAGGGCGTCTGTCCCTGGAAGGGCCATTGGGGCAGGGCTGTAGCGGGGTGTGACGACGGCAGCTCCTGGCAGCTCAGGGCCCTGCGGCAGGCTCACAGCCAGGATTCGGCTGGGGTTGGGGGTGGTGCGGTGTGGTGAGGATGGGTGGGGAGTGTGGGGGTAGGGACTGGTGGTGGTTGGGGGGGGGGGGGCGGGCGGGGAGTGGCAGGGGGGACAAGGATGGGCTTTACAGCTTTTCTGCTGGGGCCGACCCTGTAACCCTGGGGCTATCCTGGGGCTTTGAGACCCCTGCAGGAGGGGGGAGGGATTGAGCACAAGGAGGCAGGGCCGAGTCTGGCTGGCCCTGGTGGGGGTGTGGGTTGAGGGCCAACGGAGGGGCCATCGCTCCCGCCCCATACACAACAGCATACACTGCTGAGGCACCAGGCCCTCTGAGAAATGAAATGGGGCCCCCAGGGACCCCCGAGGCTGTAGGGGTGAGCATAACAGGTGAGGCCAGCCTTTTGCCTGAGAGCAGGCAGGAGAGGGGACGGGGCAGTCTCTGGGACAGGAGTGTCCTGATCTGGGCCATGAGCCAATGCCGAGCCAACTGCCTTGCTGCAGAGGGAGCAAGGCCCCAGCAGGGCAGTGTAAGCCCACCAGCCTTCACCAAGGCCAAGTGCAGGAGTGGCCCCAGAGAGGGTCCCTGGCCAACCAGGGGTCCCAGGGACCACCTAGCCGCACAGGGACTGGCTGAGGGCTGTTCCTGCAGTAACTGTGTGAGACCCCTGCTCCTGACCTCTGCTCAGGAGGGGCAGCTCCCTGGCCTTCCCCCCAGGCCCCCATCATGCCCCTCCCCACAGAGCTGGGAGGAGCCAGCTTAGCCCCAGGGGCATCATGGTGGACAAACAGAATATGTCACATGGAATGAGGCCATTTCACTTGGACAGGAGACAGGGTCCACACAACTTGGCCAAGGTCACTCACCTAATGGCGCAGGGGGACACAGAACTGGGTCTGTGTCCTAAGGTCCCCGATTATACAAGTGGCGCTTGTTCCCAGGCCCCTGCTGCCAGACTCACATACACGGATGGGCAGGCCGAGATCCCAACAGATCTGGACAGATGTGGGACACACCTGGGGACACAAAGAGTGCCCCCTGCCTGCACCCGTGAGCGACTGACTCCCAGATGGACAGAGCGGGGCTCAGGGTCTCCATCTCCAGGGCAATGCTGCCCAGCCCGCAGAAAAACCCCAGGGCAGGAGGGGCAGGGCTGTGCCCTGCTGTGCCACGGGCGCGGCGGGGGACAGGCTGCCGGAGGATCTTCCGAGCACCAGTGTGCGTGTCTGTCCGACCTGCTGCTGGCCCGCTGCCCGGCTGCAGCCCAGCTAACGGGAACTGGCACACATGAGTCATCCTTCCGGGCAGGCTCACCTGGGCCCGGCTGGCCGTGCGCGTCCCCGCGGAAGCCTGGGAGCAGAGGGTGCCGGTGTGTGCGCCTGGGCGTGTCTGTGTCCTCTTGTGCATCTCTGGGCACACGGACACACCTGCATAGTACGTGTGGGCGTGTGTGTGCACGGAGACATCCCAGTCGATCTTTGTCTGTGTGCCGCATGAGTGTGCGCGTCGTCTTGTGTCCGTGTGAATGTCACATGTGCGTCCGATGGTGCTTCCCTGTGTCTAGTCCGTGTGTCTCCGTGGCCCCTGTTGCAGCCTGTCTCTTTCTGCCCCAGGAACAGGTGCGTGTGGTGTGTGTGTCCCTCTGTCTGTCCCAGCAGCACTGGCACCAGTCCTAGAAAGCCCCCAGGAATGGTTCCCCCCAGTAGCCGGGCTTTTCTGGGTCTGTTCTGGCCCAGGCCCCCCCAGCCCCAGCCCCAGGAGGATTCACAGCTCCAAGGTCCCCTTCCTCAAATCTGCATCAGGCTGGGCTTCAGCTAACTCCCTGCTTCTGTGGAAACAGAGTTCTCCTGGGCCTTGCCACTCCTTGCCCATTCCCTAAGGAGGCCATCTTCTGCATGCTCCCCAAGCCGGAGCCCAGGGGCCCCCCACCATCCCACTACAGTCCTTACCAAGGCCCTGTGGCAGCTTCTGGAACATCCTGGTCCTTGGCTCCCTCCTCAGAGTGCCCTGGCCCAGCCCCACCCACCCTCTTGCAGGCTCCTGACTTCCAGCAGCTCTCCCCAGGCCACGTGCCTGGACCCCGCCCCACCCCACCCCCGACCACCCGGCTGGTCGTTCCTCGGTTCCCACTGCCCATGCTCACTGCCCCTAATCCTCAGCCTGCGCTGTCTTACCCTGTGCTGGGCACACACGCCACTCTGGCCTCCGCACCCAGCACTCCTCCCGCACCCCTGAAGTCCCAGCTCACCCTGTCCCTGGGGAGCCTGCCAGGACCCCCGCCCCACGCATCCCCACCGCGGCGCCGCGCCGGCCGGCGGAGCGCGCCTCTAGCCTGGGAGCCCCCGGGGCAGG